TCCTTTTAGATCACCCCTAGGAGACCTCCAAGAAGAATTTATCTTTTATACAAATCTAAATTCATATCAATACTTGAAACTCGGCAATCTTTGATACGATTTGTCATAGCATTCAACTAAGTCAGCCATCAGGAGTTTGCTGTTACTGAGATCTCTACATAGTGATCCAATTTGATGTTCCTTGTACGCTGGTAATCTTGCAGTAATAGAAAAGATGAGAAATTTCATGAAATTTTTTAATTTGCTCAATGGAAGAAATGCATCTGTAGGGTTTGTTTATTTGAGCATGTGTTTTCAGCATTAGGAGCCGAGCTAAGTATGGCAGATATTTAGTATATAAAGAGGCATAATTAATTAACTAAGGACAACGTTTTTTCAATTTGATTTAAAACCATACAACAAAAAGCAAATAAATACAGATTATACACACATTATTGGAAATAAAAAAATTTAAAGTTTCCCTTGGAGAAATTAAAATTCTGGTTGTGAAACAATGTTGCTGTTCTGTGTTGATTGATCAACACTGCTTCAGCTAGAACATCAATTTCCCCCAGGGAAACTATTCGGTCCATGCATATGATTTTGTTTATATCTCCAGAAAATATTTATAAAGATGAGTGTCTAATCTATGTTTGTTTTTTTGTTGGTTATTTGGTTTTAAATCAAATCAACATACCCTTCAGCACTTGTAAACCAATCTAAGACTTTACTTTTACGATCCTTCTAGCAGACGATAATCGTAAAAGCTGTTCTTTAATATCAAGGAAAACTCCCATAATTGTTATACAAAGCAAAAATCCAATTACATGTCATGCCCATACATTTCTCATCCACCAAATTAATACATTAAATGTACTCATAAAATAGGTGTGGGTTACATACTGATTTTTACGATTAAAACTACAGCCCGCATCACTCACCTGGACTATTAGTATGTATGATTAAGATAAGATAAGCTTAAAACCACTTAGTAGCCTATGTTGACCTTTGACCCTTACATGCTTTTAATGTTATGTTGACCCTTGAGCTCAACACAATCCATGACAAAAAAATGTGCATGGCTAGTCATCCCAACACCCTCAATTGACATGGCTCACTAAATTTTATATGCTTTTGGATTTTTTAAACATATCTGACCCCTGTGACCTTGAAAATTGGTTTAACAAGTAGCAGTACACTAACACAAAATGAAACACCAAATCCCACCGCTGCCACCAAATAATGTGCAAGTAGGCATCCATCTACCGGTAGTCACCTAGTAAATCATGGGAGAAATATAATCAACCACCCTTGTATGATGTAGACAGAGAAATTACAACTTTGGGATAAGAATTTTGAGGTTCAGCACATGTTAAGCCTCAGTGTGAACTCAACAAGTTATAAATTATCTTTCTCCCATGCTTGAAGCTCCACTACAGTAAAAACATAGTCACAGTTAACGTTGTAATGGTGAACCCAAATGCAATGCTCTATCATTCTCCTTCTATAATAAGTAATATCACAATTCTCAAACTGGTATATTCCTCTTCATAATTATCTTCATCTGAGCATATCAAAGCAAAGACAATTTAAATTGTACACCAAAACTATATTAGATAGATAGATGGACAGATAGATCACACACATATAGGAAGAAGGATAAAGAAATAAACTGTGATGGAGAGACAGTGGGACACACAGAATGAACATATACAAGAAGGAAGATGCACTAACAAATTTTGATGGAGAGACAGGAAAGACAGAATGAACATATTGGAAGGAGAATAAAGCAATTGGTTGCTGAACTCATCATGCTTTCCATTATGTGTTTTAATTTATATGTGATAAACACACCTATAATATTAAAATCCCCCAATAAGAATTGTGTCTGCTCAACTCAGTACACACACTGCACTGTTACAGCACAATTCTAGGGTTCTGATGGGTGAGCAAATTCATCATCACACAATTATTTTGGTCCAAATTAATGTCCTCGTGGTGCCATAAGGGTATGTTTTCTTAAACAACATGTTATATAACGAGCCATCCTTCCTGTCTCCTATAACAAAACAAATCATCCAAATCTATCTAGCCTGATTATGAATTGCAGGACAATTTAATCTGTTTTTGATCAACTTTCATTATAACCCAATGGCGCCACTCATTCAACATGACATAGCCTAAATAAACAACTTGTTCATCATTCTCAGGAAAATGCAATTTTCCTACACAAGATTTATTATTTTCCCAAAAATATGATGCTAATTAAATAACCTTCATTTCCAAGGGAAAATATCTACTTCATCAAAACCAATACCACATAGAAGCCATAGGGTCGTGGGAATCCTACTGTCAACACGAAGATATTACACATACACCATTATTGCCATCGTATCCTTTATATTTTGTTTTTGTCACAATTCGCTTACATCTCAGAACTAAAAGTTTTGTTTTTTAATTCTTTCATATTGATGTTGAGTGTGAATGAAAAAGGTTGACAAGTAATGATCTTTTTGGATAATTTCCAATATTCTTTTATATCTATAGAACAGCTTGTACCCACAAACAGGCATGTTTTCTTTCTGATTTTAGGTGTTTTGTTACCCTGTGTGAACAGGGTTGAAAAAATAGTCTATAGACTCATTGAATGTTCCTCTCCACGGAAATCTTTAGTAAAAGGCGAAAGATTTATGCGTGGTTTGAAGAGAAACCAGAGTGCCTATCCAATCCAAATTTTCATGTTATATTCTCAAACTTATAATCTCTTTATGGGTCTATTAAAATATATTTTCTAAATCTGAAATGATACTTAGGCCATTATTCCAATGTGATTTGGTAACACCTTTAAATGTGATAGAATGCATATTCTAAAATAAATTACTTATGAAAATGATAAAAATATAAATAAATATTGGTATTTTTATGAGTTTTATTAACCAAATCGAACAAGGGAGGTAACTGTAACTAGTGAGCAACAGGTACGGCATATCACCTGAGCAAACACCATACATTAGATTTAGTCTACAGGTACTAACAATCATAGCTACATTGAGTTGAGTGTAAAATATCACCAGTTGTGTGTTATTCCTTTTCCTCCCTAGTGAGCACTAAAGCAGACTCACAATTGATAGCTAAAAAATAGTAGTAGCTACTAGCACAGACTTATATAGCATCTAAGCTAATTCTGTGCTACTAAGCTAGGACCTAGTACGTATACTAAGTACAGAGTTATTTTATACCAACAATGCTTGAAGATCATAATTGAATCAGTCATTCCACCAAGCTATTACATTCATGGTTTTTTTTCTTTTTATTATGAAAAGACTTCAAAAGATTCAAAATTTCTTGAAAGGATTTTAACATTGTAAAGAAAGAAAGTGTCAAAATATTTACTAGACTTACTCTAGTCCCTAAAATAATGTGCGTAAATGTTTTGACTTCTTAATGACGGCAGCTCAGCATTGCTATATATTAAAGGAAAATTTGACTGGTTAATCATCATGAGGTATTAAGATCACAAATCAAGTATACTGATCAATAAATATCAAGGAATATTTTTGCTTACAAAAAATGTTGGTGTAGAATAATACAATCTTTAACAATATGGATAATATAAACAGACACATTTACTGGCACCCATTCTGTTATCTTCTTGAGGGGGAATCACCTTCAGTAAACATTTTTTAAGTTTTCAACACTATATATATGAATATCTGCTTATTCAGTAAAGATTAATAATTAAACCTCTGATGGTCATGACTGATAATTCAGCTTCTAATAGTCAATTAAGACTAATAATTCAGCTTCTAATAGTCGATTAAGACATATAAGTCAGCCTCTGATAGTCATGACTAATAATTCAGTTTCTAATAGTCAAGACTGATAATTCAGCCTCTGATAGCCATGACTAAAAATTCAGCTTCTAATAGTCAAGACTGATCATTCAGCCTCTGATAGTCATTTCAGACTGATCATTCAGCCTCTGATAGCCATGACTAATAATTCAGCTTTTAATAGACAAGACTGATCATTCAGCCTCTGATAGTCAATTCAGACTGATCATTCAGCCTCTGATAGCCATGACTAATAATTCAGCTTTTAATAGTCAAGTCTCATAATTCTGCCCTAATAGTCAAGACTGATATCATTCAGCCTCTGATAGTCATGTCTGATAATTCAGCTTCTAATAGTCAAGACTGATCATTCAGCCTCTGATAGTCATGACTAATAATTCAGCTTCTGATAGCCATGACTAATAATTCAGCCTCTGATAGTTATAAGACTGATCATTCAGCCTCTGATCGCCATGACTATAGTTCAGTCTCTGATAGCCAAGATTGATAATTCAGCCACTAATAGTCAGGATTGATAATTCAGCCTCTAATAGTACTTAGTCAAGACTGACCATTCAGCCTCTAACAGTCAAGACTGAGCATTCAGCCTCTTATAGTTATAAGACTGATCATTCAGTCTCTGATCGCCATGACTAATAGTTCAGTCTCTGACAGAATTCAGCCTACGATAGCCAAGATTGATAATTCAGCCTCCGATTGTCAAGATAGAGAATTTAGCTTCCGATAGCTGAGAGAAAACATATAGACGAAAATAATACTCTGATTACTATGATAAAGGACTCAGAGATCTAGAGCCAAGAGTGATAATTCAACCTCCAGTTTTTAATGATATCTTCATGATTTCAATTTTGTTTTGGTATCCCATGTATTTACTATAAACATTTCAGCAATATCTCTGCTTCGATCAACACTGAAAGAAAAACATTCTGGACATTTTAAACAAAACAGTCAAGGTTAACGAGTTTCCACTACAGTGTATTCTATCTAACCTGGAAACACACTGGATCACATAATTTGTCCAGTTTGCAGGGAGTTCTGGATTGTAAGGTTCTCCTTGTTATAAATTGGAACCGGATTCTTTGACCACTTTTAGATAAAATCTGGACAGAGTATTGTTTAAACAGAATGCACTGTATAAATATCTACAAAACATGCAGATGTACTCACTTTGGGTAGCTTTACTGGATCGACCGGCTGGAACTGAAACCGTCCCCTGGGTATCCCTGGGTCTGTTCCACTAAACGTGGCCGTAGTCAACACTTCCTGCATAGCAACAATACTTTTAAATGTGAAATTTCAAGGATTTTTATTTGAATTACAACCCATCAGCATAATCAAATAACAAATAGGTGAACAGAAGATCAAGAATAAACAGCAGGAATGCATTTTAGAGATGGACAGAAATATAACCTTAACATGCCTCAACGTTTTTTCAATTCCACATAAAAGTTTATTATTTCTTAATTTGAATTCTATATTCCATATCTAAATGTATAAATGACTTGTTGGTCTTTTGTCTCTTGACTGTTTGTTGCATTCTTTACTTCATCATTACTGTTACCAGGTATAAAACAAACAGTCATCTGCTGGATATAACCGATTAACTCGGTAGTGAAGCAGACGTAAAACCACTCAAACATAACAAAATCACAAAGAGTATCACATGTGTGGAACAATAAACACCCCTTTCTTATCATTTAGTATTCATTTAGACTCATTGTACATGTATCATCCCATTTAGTATCCATTTAGACTCATTGTACATGTATCATCCCATTTAGTATCTATTTAGACTCATTGTACATGTATCTTCCAATTTAGTATCTATATAGACTCATTGTACATGTATCATCCCATTTAGTATCTATTTAGACTCATTGTACATGTATCATCCCATTTAGTATCCATTTAGACTCATTGTACATGTATCATCCCATTTAGTATCTATATAGACTCATTGTACATGTATCATCCCATTTAGTATCCATTTAGACTCATTGTACATGTATCATCCCATTTAGTATCTATATAGACTCATTGTACATGTATCATCCCATTTAGTATCCATTTAGACTCATTGTACATGTATCATCCCATTTAGTATCTATATAGACTCATTGTACATGTATCATCCCATTTAGTATCCATTTAGACTCATTGTACATGTATCATCCCATTTAGTATCTATATAGACTCATTGTACATGTATCATCCCATTTAGTATCCATTTAGACTCATTGTACATGTATCATCCCATTTAGTATCTATATAGACTCATTGTACATGTATCATCCCATTTAGTATCCATTTAGACTCATTGTACATGTATCATCCCATTTAGTATCCATTTAGACTCATTGTACATGTATCATCCCATTTAGTATCTATATAGACTCATTGTACATGTATCATCCCATTTAGTATCCATTTAGACTCATTGTACATGTATCATCCCATTGAGTAACCATTTAGACTTATTGTACATGTATCATCCCATTTAGTATCCATTTAGACTCATTATACATGTATCATCCCATTTAGTATCCATTTAGACCCATTGTACATGTATTATCCCATTTAGTATCCATTTAGACTCATTGTACATGTATTCATTGTACATGTATCATCCCATTGAGTAACCATTTAGACTTATTGTACATGTATGATCCCATTTAGTATCCATTTAGACTCATTGTATCTATATAGACTCATTGTACATGTATCGTCCCATTTAGTATCTATATAGACTCATTGTACAAGTATCATCCCATTTAGTATCCATTTAGACTCATTATACATGTATCATCCCATTTAGTATCCATTATGTATCATCCCATTTAGTATCAATTTAGACTCATTGTACATGTATCTTCCAATTTAGTATCTGTATAGACTCATTGTACATGTATCATCCCATTAAGTATCCATTTAGACTCATTGTACATGTAGCATCCCATTGAGTAACCATTTAGACTTATTGGACATGTATCATCCCATTTAGTATCCATTTACCCTCATTGTACATGTATCATCCCATTGAGTAACCATTTAGACTTATTGGACATGTATCATCCCATTTAGTATCCATTTAAACTCACTGTACATGTATTATCCCATTTAGTATCTATATATACTCATTGTACATGTATTCTATATATTCTCATTGTACATGTATCATCCCATTTAGTATTCATTTAGACTCATTGTACATGTATCATCCCAGTGAGTAACCATTTAGACTTATTGTACATGTATCATCCCATTTGGTATCTATATAGACTCATTGTACATGTATTATCCCATTGAGTAACCATTTAGACTTATTGGACATGTATCATCCCATTTAGTATCCATTTAAACTCACTGTACATGTATTATCCCATTTAGTATCTATATAGACTCATTTTACATGTATCATCCCATTTAGTATTCCTTTAGCCTCATTGTACATGTATCATCCCATTTAGTTTCCATTTAGACTCATTGTACATGTATCATCCCATTGAGTATCCATTTAGACTTATTGTACATGTATCATCCCATTTAGTATTCCTTTAGCCTCATTGTACATGTATCATCCCATTTAGTATTCATTTAGACTCATTGTACATGTATCATCCCATTGAGTAACCATTTAGACTTATTGGACATGTATCATCCCATTTAGTATCCATTTAAACTCACTGTACATGTATTATCCCATTTAGTATCTATATACTCATTGTACATGTATCATCCCATGTAGTATCCATTTAGACTCATTGTACATGTATTATCCCATTGAGTAACCATTTAGACTTATTGTACATTTATCATCCCATTTAGTATCTATATATACTCATTGTACATGTATCATCCCATTTAGTTTCCATTTAGACTCATTGTACATGTATCATCCCAGTGAGTAACCATTTAGACTTATTGTACATGTATGATCCCATTTAGTATCCATTTAGACTCATTGTACATCTATCATCCCATTTAGTATCTATTTAGACTTATTGTACATGTATCATCCCATTTGGTATCTATATAGACTCATTGTACATGTATTATCCCATTGAGTAACCATTTAGACTTATTGGACATGTATCATCCCATTTAGTATCCATTTAAACTCACTGTACATGTATTATCCCATTTAGTATCTATTTAGACTCATTGTACATGTATCATCCCATTGAGTAACCATTTAGACTTATTGGACATGTATCATCCCATTTAGTATCCATTTAGGCTCATTGTACATGTATCTTCCAATTTAGTATCTGTATAGACTCATTGTACATGTATCATCCCATTGAGTAACCATTTAGACTTATTGGACATGTATCATCCCATTTAGTATCCATTTACCCTCATTGTACATGTATCATCCCATTGAGTATCCATTTAGACTTATTGTACATGTATCATCCCATTTGGTATCTATATAGACTCATTGTACATGTATCATCCCATTGAGTATCCATTTAGACTTATTGTACATGTATCATCCCATTTAGTATCCATTATGTATCATCCCATTTAGTATCAATTTAGACTCATTGTACATGTATCTTCCAATTTAGTATCTGTATAGACTCATTGTACATGTATCATCCCATTGAGTAACCATTTAGACTTATTGTACATGTATGATCCCATTTAGTATCCATTTAGACTCATTATACATGTATCATCCCATTTAGTATCCATTTAAACTCACTGTACATGTATTATCCCATTTAGTATCTATTTAGACTCATTGTACATGTATCTTCCAATTTAGTATCTATATAGCCTCATTGTACATGTATCATCCCATTTAGTATTCATTTAGACTCATTGTACATGTATCATCCCAGTGAGTAACCATTTAGACTTATTGTACATGTATCATCCCATTTGGTATCTATATAGACTCATTGTACATGTATTATCCCATTGAGTAACCATTTAGACTTATTGGACATGTATCATCCCATTTAGTATCCATTTAGACCCATTGTACATGTATTATCCCATTTAGTATCTATATAGACTCATTTTACATGTATCATCCCATTTAGTATTCATTTAGACTCATTGTACATGTATCATCCCATTTAGTATCAATTTAGACTCATTGTACATGTATCTTCCAATTTAGTATCTATATAGACTCATTGTACATGTATTATCCCATTTCGTATCTATATAGACTCATTGTACATGTATCGTCCCATTTAGTATCTATATAGACTCATTGTACATGTATCATCCCATTTAGTATCCATTTAGACTAATTGTACATGTATCATGTTTGGCACTTAAAGGAACAAAGATGAAAGATGCAAGATGGACAGACACACTGAATGGACAAATACCTGGAATTAGTATATAGGAAGACAATAGAAAAAAACTTCTGTATCAAAACTAAGCAAATGGCAACATATATATTTAGCTTGATATATAGTGGGGCATGAGACTACTTCCTGTTGTAATTTCTTTTGCAACACTCCAACTTCCCAGGACATAGAAGTTAACAGTAAGGTTGGTGAATGTACAATGTAGGTTAAACACCAAGGAAATTATATGCTCCAGACAAAATATCGTATAAAGAATGAGAAAAGGGTCCCCACTCTGTACAAAGTGGGGTGCAAGATCAATTCTCAAGTTATAAAGTCTGTGAAATAAATCTTCATCCTCAGTCATGATTTAAATCTACATCCCAAGGACAGGACATTAATCTTCATACCTTAACCAAGATAAAATCTACATCCCTAGGACAGGAAATTAATCTACATCTCTAGGACAGGACATTAATCTTCATACTTTGACCAAAATTAAATCTACATCCCTAGGACAGGACATTAATCTTCATACCTTCACCAAGATAAAATCTACATCCCTAGGACAGGACATTAATCTTCATACCTTGACCAAGATAAAATCTACATCTCTAGGACAGGACATTAATCTTCATACCTTCACCAAGATAAAATCTACATCCCTAGGACGGGACATTAATCTTCATACCTTGACCAAGATAAAATCTACATCCCTAGGACAGAACATTAATCTTCATACCTTGACCAAGATAAAATCTACATCCCTAGTACAGGACATTAATCTTCATACCTTGACCAAGATAAAATCTACATCCCTTGAATTATAATGAGGTAGGACATAAATCTGAAATCCCTTAGAATGGACAAAAATCTACATGTGTCTTGGCTTGAACAGAAATCTGTATCCCTAATCTAACATCCCTCAAATGTAACTGAAATCTATACATCTTT